TTGGTAAAACTACTGGTTTCACTTTACAATTATCTCCGTCCACATTTTTATCAACGAAATAATTAAATCGACGAACAGATGGCTGTTCAGTAACAACTAGAGGTTTTGGTAGAGGTTTTGGTTCTTGCCTATTTGTTTCTGCTTCTAGCTCTTGAGGCCCTCGCTGTTTTCTAGGTCCAACTAGCTGTTGTGTAGTAACTGGTATAAAGTTTATTACGTTTTGGTCAGGAAGACTTTGTTCTAGAACACTTTCGTTGACATTCTCTGTTATCACGAAATTGTCTTCCAAATCTTCATCTAATTGTTGACCACAGGAACAACAACAAAGTTTTTTAATAGAATTAAGAAAGCTTTCAACAAACATTGTTCGTCGATTTTAACTGAAAATAAATCATAATAGTGTTACAACATACTTTATATTGATTTTATCAAATGCGAGAGAGTATGTAATATCTGATAAGATAGAAAAGAAGATGAAATTAGGTTCATTGCTGAATTTAGAGACTCCCCAGTACCAGACATACTCCATTGCTTAATTTTACTTTTTTTCAGAAAGTAGACTATAATATGGCAAAATTCGTTTCGGAAAAATACGTTCATTTTAGTGTCTCGAAAATGTTCAAAGTTGCTCGGAAATAGATGAAATAGCGTAATTCAGACCTAAAAAAAAATTGTTAGATTTTTTTGGCAAAATGTATATTATAGAAATTTGGTTCAAAAACCTGTTAAATCGCTCGAAAAAAATGTCTGAAATACATTCATTTCAGACCCAAGAGCCAATTTTTTAATTTGTTTCGGCAAAATACATCAATGAATTTTAAATAAGTTTTTTGATTCAAAAACCTGCTAAATTTCTCGCAATGACTGAAACAGCTAACTAAGACCTATCGGTTTATAGACCGACAATCTTTTAATTTTTTATAGTAAAATATACGACGATTTAAAAGAATTTCTATCTCAATAATGCAAAAATGCTTAGAAATGATAGCGTTTCGTATTTCATCAATTTATAAAAAAAAATAATCAAACAGGTCTAACGTAGGGTACATTTTGAATTTTTTTTTATAAATCAATATTTTTTAATGAAACCCTGTGTCCCATTTCTACCTCCGTCCATGGCGGCGTCACTCTATGAACAATACCTGCCGCACTCTCTGCGCAAGTCTCTCGTAACGCGCCAACAAATACTATAAACGTAAACGTGAACTCGTGAATCACGCATTGAACCCCAAACCGCGTTGAGTAGTGATCGACCACGTGTTTAACATCATGCCTCACCTTCCTAATTAACTCCAAAAATGCCCCACTAAGCCCATCACCATGACCTCCGATTCGCGCCCCAACGGGGACATCGGCGACGCCGACGACGCCGTCAAACTCAAGCGTAAAATTACATTGTTGAATGGAGTCGCGCTCATTATCGGCACCATCATCGGTAGCGGCATCTTCGTTTCACCTACTGGTGTCTACCTGAGCACCAGGTCTGTGGGCGTCTCTATCATCGTGTGGTGCCTCTCCGGGATCTTTTCCACGTTGGGGGCCCTGTGCTACGCCGAATTGGGCACTTCCATCACCAGGTCCGGTGGGGACTATGCCTACATCTACGTCGCTTTCGGGCCTTTAGCCGCATTTTTGCGCCTCTGGATTGCTTTACTGATTATTCGGCCTACGACGCAGGCTATTGTGGCTCTCACCTTCGCCCAGTATGCCGCAAAGCCCTTTTTCGACGATTGTCAACCCCCGGATAATGCCGTCAGGTTTTTGGCGGCGGCGTGTTTGTGTAAGTCCAATTTTGAATTTTTGAATTTTGAAGTGGCCTCTTTTGGCAAAGAGTGGTACTAATGAGTTGAGCGGCAAAAGAAATTGTGTTAGAATATGACCTCGATTTAAGATAAATACATATGGGTTTTTTATTTAAAAATAATAAATTTGCCAAAGGAGAAAGCCAAAAATGGAAGATATGGTTTTCGCGTGACGTCAAGCGCCCACATTTCCCTGAAAGAAAGCATGATGCAACAATATTAGAGCTGAGGTGATTTTAAATTTAACAATAGCAGCACTTTAATTCACACTTTTTCATTTAAATTCTTTGTGTGTTAGAAAGCGTATTTATTATTCATTTTATTTCACTCTCTACAGCTGGAAGGTAGACATAATTAAATAAATGAATCTATAAAATAGTCGAAACTTATTTGAAAAAGTACAGTTTCAATGAAATTAAATAATTTATCTAAAATAAAACATTTGAGAATATCGATCTTTGCTTTTCTACTTCAGTAGGACTGTTCAGTGAACAACTAACTACCTACTATTCCCTTCCCAGTTCCTGTATTTGATAGGTACTATTATTAATACTAGCAGTATGTCTGTAAACATACCTATTGCATTTTCACATAGGCATAAAAGTTGTTTCAGTCACTCTTTTATGTAAAAAAATATAACCTTGAACGTTCTAATGTTTATTTTATTATGCAAGTATCGAATGTTTTATTAGTTTGTAGCAATTTAAGGTATTTGGGATTTTTTCAATAACGAATTTTGATTTTCTCTTATTTTCTAGTGGTATTTTGTATAATTTTGATTTTATTTCTTAAGCAGCAGTGTTCTCCACGCGAGAATTAAAAGTTTTTGTCGGATAACGCATCTTAGAAAATGCTCTAGTCTTGAGTTAACAGTAAAAGCTTTAAAAATAAACATTGTTAATATTAAAAAAAAATTAAGAAAATGTTTAGAAATCATTATTTGATTTTCATTATAGGTACTATAGTTACAAAACTGCGGTTTTAAAAATATTATTATTAAATTAAATTATTAAAATTATTAAATTTGAAGAAAAACAAGATTTCATAAACTTGAAATATTTATTACTATAATAATTATGTATTATGTATGGAATGGTGTTTAAACTTTTGACACATTTCCAATTTTCATTTAAACTTTTTTCCAATTATTGTACGGAATCCAACAAAATCTCTGATAAAATGCCATTGTTTTCATTTTCAGGTCTTCTGACGGCAGTTAATTGTCTCAGCGTCAGATGGGCTATGCGAATACAAAGCGTCTTTACTGCAGCTAAGCTATTAGCTCTGATTGTAATCATTCTCACAGGACTT